GGAGCAGGAGGAGGAGGAGGAGGAGGAGGAGGAGGATGAAGAATAGGATGAATAGGAGGAGGAAGATGAGGAGGAGGAGGAGGAGGAGGTGGAGGAGGAGAAGGAGGAGGAGGAGGAGGCGGAGGAGGAGGAGGAGGTGGAGGAGGAGAAGGAGGAGAAGCATGAGGCACGAGCCGTGCCCTGCTTACCTTCGGGCCGCCCCGCCCCATCGCCCTGCTGCGCCGGCCGCCGCGCCCGCGGGAGCTGGCCGCGCTGCAGCGCGACGCCCGACTCGGCGGCGGCGAGGAGGTGGGGGCCGTGCTTCTCCTCCCCTCATCCTGCTTCTTCTCCTCCTCCTCCTCCTCCTCCTTCATTCCTTGCCGTCCTGCCTTTTGACCCACGGTGAGCTGCCCCGTGCCCCCCTACTACTAGGTTAGGGAGCCAGCGTCTGACGCTATTCTGGGGGATGCCAGCCCATCCTCAGATCAGAGGTCCGTCAAATGGCCCATCTTCTGGGGATGCCAGCCCCGCCAAACCTAATGTGTCGAACAGAGGTGGCTGTCGCGGGGTATGCTGACCACGCATGCCATTCACCAACACCAGGTGCCAACAACAGTCCCTGCACAGGCTTTGGGACCAGAAGGTTTCATTGCAATCCTACTCCGTTCTTTATCCTCATGGATAGCTCCTCCCTGTCGCACCCCGAGGCTGGTCGAAATGGCGGCCCTCACAACTTATGATCCTGAAGCTTGAAATTTGCAATAGTGTCATGGATGGAGGGCGACCCGCTTTCAACATGTGATGTGGCTTATGATCCTGAAGCTTGAAATTTGCAATAGTGTCATGGATGGAGGGCGACCCGCTTTCAAAATGTGATGTGGCTCTCGCCTTAGCGCCGCGCGCACTCGTTGAAACAATTGGCCAGAGGGGGCGGGATGTATGGTGCAGTTTGGCTCCGCTGGTGGTTCCGTACCTTCCCCAGGGGCTTAGATGCCTGACGATGTTTGCGCTCGGCAACCAGTCGCCCCACCGCCGCCGCTTCGTCCGTTTCCCGGTTTTGTGGCGAACATATGATTCCAGACAATTCGAACGCTAGTGGGCGCCGGTCGGAGCAGCGGCGCTGGAGGTGCCTCGCTGAACGCCGATGCGTCCGTGACAACAGAGGCAGGGGATCCAGCATCTTCTCGCATCAGGCGGAGGACCTGAGCGACCCCTTGCAGGCATAAATCTGGAGTTGCCTTCGCGCACGGCACTGGTCTGGAGTGACTTGTGGCAGCATTCTGCGCCGACGTTGTAGCGCGAGACTCGTGAGATGAGGCGGCTTGGAAGGCTTCGGCCCCCTGCAGTGCAGAGGACAAGCAGCTGAAGGTTGAGGCTTCTTGAGCTGCGGCAGGCAAGGACAGAACAAGGCCCGCCCCCCGCTCTCCGGCCGAGTCTTCCCCGGGAGCACCCGCTGCCAGCAGGGGCCGCGCAGCTGGCGCGCCCTCGCCCCTGGCCTCCTGCCCTTCTCTTTCGGGGCGCCGCCGTTGAGATCACGAGCCTGACCCCTGGCGCCATTCGAGGATCTGCTCGGCCTGGGAGCTCTCTGGCCGCTCCGCGGCCGCTTCCTCTTCCCTTCTTGGCCCCTCCTCTGCCGTCGCCACAGCTGGCTGCGGACGTGCCCCGCCGCTGACCCGGCCGCCTGTTGGACCCCACTCGCCGCACACCCACATTTTGCGGAGACATGCCGACCCAGCCTTCGCCGAGC